TTATTCCAAAGAGAAGCAGCATTTCAGAGTGCAATGGGGCCAATGTTATCCCAGCAAAAATATCCCTATGGTATTTCATTAGGGAAAATTACAAATAAGCCAATACATCCTTTTAGTGGTTTGCTACTGGTAGAAGACATTCTGCTTATTCTAGCTATGCCTATATGTAGCTGCCTGTAAAATACAAGAACTATCACAATTTCCTGCTAATGGCTGATAAATGTATCCCCATCTAAGTTTGGCACACACGTCCTCACAAGTAACTTCCTGACCCAGTTTCTTGACCAAAGGTACTCTGCTGCGTTATGACAATAGTATTGGAGTGTGCCGTGGGACAACACAATTACTTCCCATTTATTCAGAATTCTCTTGATTAGGGTATTATCCTTAACACAATGACTTCTAAACTGGAACACCCTCAGTCAAATGTTTTAAGGCTTAAGCTTTCCAGAATTGCATTGTACATCTTTATCTGACATATTCTCTCCCCCTTCCCTCTCCTGGAATTCTTGCTTTCAGCAACCACATCCCTGTTTTTTTTTTATTCCTGGAAAAAATTCTCCTTTCTCATGGTGTCTTGCTCGATCATTAATGTTGACATGCCAAAAGCTTCCCACCGAGATCTTGTTGGCTTTTTTGGCATCCCACTTCTCCACATCTGGTATTTTATATAGCTATCCATAATATTATAATTCTTGTGCCAGTAGGTTGTCCTCTTCATATGCAGACCATATCTCTCTCAGCTTGTTCCCCAAATCTGTGTCTTCTCTGCTCCATTAGCTCCTCTAGCTCCAAACAACCAAGCTGTCTAAAAGCTCTATGCTTTTCAGAAAACATAAATCATCATCAAGTCCCAAAATATCTGACAACCTTTTACATAACAAAATTCATGACCAGAAGTAATGCACTCACAACCTGTGATTGAAGGCCAATGAAAATGACACAAGGAACTTTACTTTGCCCCATGCTGTTGCCTCTTGACTAGCATCCAGAAACTTGCTAATGACTGATGCCCTCAAAAATAGGAATTGATGCAGTTTGTCAACAAGTTACTAGGATTACTCAGTATTTAAGATAAAGTGAGTTTACATCTGTAGACCTTAAAGAGATAGTGTACGCTGTTCCCTTTTGAATGGGGGGGAGAGGGAGGGCACAACACAAACAAACAAACAAACAAATCACTACATCTCAGATTATGACCATCCCTTTACCACATCACAAAAGCTCTCCTTGAAAGACTGATAAAAATTACAGGACAGATAAAAGAAGTGTGATTCCAGTACAAAGGAGCATGATCAAAGGACCGGAATGCTCTTTTACCATATTCACCAATAATATGATAATATGAAATATCTTAATTACAGGAAGGAATTTGGATACGATCATACCCATCTGCACTTACTTGAAAGAAGATAAAAAATCCTTATTGGATACTTACCAATCACACCCATTCTGCTAAAGTTTTGCTCATAAATGGTCTCATTTCATTTGCGTCTTTTATCCCTGATTATTTTCTGATCCTGTAATTTCTCTTCAGCCTGCTAAAGCTAGGTTGACCCAAAATGCCAGTAACAGCTCAAAACTAGTAAACTAGTATTACTTCTACTCTTACCCTACCCACTCTGTAATGGTTGTTATATATGATCTCCCATACTGTCTTACACTTAATAGTTCTTCCTACTTGAAGAATTTATCCACAGGCCTACCACTGTCAGAGCAACAGCTCTACAATTTGTCTTATGTTACAGTGAAAATGATTTTTTCCTATTGCCAATATTTAAGCAAAATCAGGTAAATTTTCTGATCAAATATCACAGTAAAAACAAACCAATCAACAAACAAACAAACAAATCAAACCAAGCGGCTAACTGCAATTGAATTTTTATTGGGAAAACAACAACAGCAAACAGACAAAAAACCACCAACACAATCAGAAAGAAAAAAATCATCACATTTTTGAAAAATGAGCAGAAAGACTGCTCCCAGCCTTTTCCAGGAATTGCTCAACATGAGAGCATGCCAAGCTCTAGAAAGTAAAAGTCTGTCTTGAGGCACGTGCACACCAACCTGAATTTTAAAAAGCCTAAAGAGTGAAGCGTCCAACTTACACCTGGGCTTTGCCAGAAATCAGGAAATAGGTCTTGTCTTACCTGTGTCTTGAAAGAAGGAAGGCTAAGGATTCTTCTCATGGGTGTAGCTGAGCACCAGAAGAGGTCATCCAGAGAGGCTACAGAATCCCCATGCTTAGAGATGCTCAAAGCTGGACAAAACAAAGCCTTGGGCAGCCTCATCTCATTCTGAAGTCAGCTTGGCTTTCAGCCTGGGTTTGGACCAGATGACATCCAGAAATCCGTTCCAATCTGGTTTTTTGTTTTTGTTTTTGTTTTTGTTTTTTTGTTTTTTTTCTTTACTTTAATAATTTAATCACTAAATAAAAGAATAATCATTCCATAAATGAAAGTGTTCTGACATACTTCTGTGATAAGCAGCACCTCTGTTTTCACTACATTGAGATAATGACATCACAGCTATTGATCAATTCTGTTTTGCTTACAGAACATGATTTCTACTCTGTAAAAATGCTGTTCCCATCATTTTATCATCTGTGTGCTATTTGAACAGGTTTTATCACTGTGATTCTGATAAATGCTTGTTTGACCAGAACTTCAAATTAAATCTTACAATAAGTTGTAAAGCTACACCTACCCCTACATCCCCCTGGGTACTGCTTTCCTTATTGCATAGGTAGAGAAAGAGGCATAAAGGAAGCCTGCAGAGAGGTCAGCAGCTGAACCTTTCCTCCTGAATCCTTGTCTGTGGCTTTAAACACAAATCCACCCTTCGGTCATTCTATATACCCTATGGGCAACATCTTTCAGTATGTTAGAGCTTCCTCTTGTAGATATAATGGCTGATATAAAGTATTCAATGGCAAAGACATACTTTCATCCAAACTGCTCCATATTCACAGTGTAATTCATATTTTTTGCAGTATGTTTTTGAAATGCTTACAACTGTAGGCATTTACTCTGGTTGTTGCTTTTTAAAGACTTCGTACATGAAGGAGAAAGATCTCCTTCATTACAAGCCTCTGGAAGAGCCAATATCACCAAGATTTCCTGCCTGTTAGTGAGAAGGATGACACTGAAAACGCAGACAGCATCAGACATATGCTCATGCCAGAGCCAAAGGACCCCCTGTGCAACCGCTGTGCTTCTGGATGCTCAGCACTGGCACATCCCCAGGGCAGAGCTGAACTGCTGTGCCAAGCATCTCACGCCTTTCCTGCTTCTCCCTGCTTGGTTTCTGCCTCCCATGGGGCACATCCTGCACCACACACACCCTGGTGACCTGCACTTCTCTGCAGAATTTAATGTCTTTCTGGGTTTTTTTTGTTTGTTTTTTTTTGTTTTGTTTTGTTTTTTTTTTGTGGCTGTCATTATTTTTGTTCGTGTCTTGCAGCCATTGCTAATAGCCTGAGTGCTGCCTTTGCCAGCTGTTGTGCAAGCTATATGTTCTGAAATGTCATCCATTTCAGACAGAGGATACTCTGAAGACACAGATGTTGAGCAAGTACCTAACTGCTTAGCTTTCTACTGGTCTACTGAGTTGGTTTTTTGTTTGTTTGTTTGTTTGTTTTCTAAACTGCCAATATCAGAGCAACAAACTGCTGGCCAGACCTTGCTCACCCTCTGCACTAGTCCCCCTCCGTGAGCCAGAGACTGTCCAACTCCAGTCAGGACAGGACAAAAGAAACCATCCTCTCTCCTCAAACCATGTTACCCCACGAAGGCATGGACATGCATCACACCTCTGGGTGTGTCACACCACTGACTGTTGGTATACTCATCCAGGCAAAAACCCAGTCCATAAATGCCAGTGCTCAAAACCAGTAACACCTTTGCAGCAGTGGAAGCTCAGTTTCCAAATGCTTGCAAGGCAAAGAGGAGCAGTCTACATCCTGGCTGACTGTTGTGCTCAAAAAATCTGTCTTCCATGTGTGAGCAGCTGGGACAGGGCATGGTCTGCCTCCAGGGACATCCTCTCTTTGGATTGTTTTCCCTTTTTAAGAGTACAAGTGTTGGGAAGCTGCCTACAACTGTCGCTCACTGAGATGAAATGAAATATGGTGTTATTAATGAAAGAAAAAAGTGACTTGCACAATAGAGAAATTCAGCTAGCCTTCTGGTAAAGGAAGAGCAAAGAAGCATTTCTCCCCACATCTCAGAGACATTCTGGGGTGAATATTTAGCTCATATAGCTGTGTGGAGCTCAGCAACATGTGCCTAATTTACAGTGGGACAGGCAGAAGGGCCAGTGAGAAGGGATGCTGACAGCCTAGGAATGGAGTAGCAATGTGGTATTTTAGCAAAGATGAAAAGTGTCGCTCTACATCTGTAGATGTAGACTTTGTTAATGCCGTTGCATTTCTCAGGCCGCATAGCTGAACCATCAGTGGGTTTGGCCTTGTCACCTTGGTATAAGCAAAGTTTGATGAAATGTGAGTAATTTTTAAAAGAAAGCATTTCTGTGGCTTTGATTCTCTGTTTTGTGGTCATTGCCTTGGAAGGAACGTTAGTCATTTTGGGCTTTTGCACTTGCATTGAAAAAAAAAAAAAAAAAAAGAGGAAAAAAAGTGTGGGAGATACAGAAGGTTTTAGCAATGTCTATGTGAGAGGTGGGGATCCACAGCCAGAGGCTCACCAAGAGGGGCTGGCAGTTTTCCTCCTGTGGAAACCTGGGTGCCAGGCAGGAGCCAGCCAGGCTGCAAGCAGCACAGTCTCCAAATCCAAAGACAACATGACCAGAAGCACTTTGGGTGCTGTTTGCACATCTCTGAACTTAGAGTTTGCCTTCCCTCTTTAATGCCTGTGAGGAGCCAAATGCCCAAGCACGAGCATCCCAGGAACCAGCAGAAGGAGCAGGATACAGCAGAAATCAACCAGATGCATGCTTAAGGTCCAACAAACATCTACACTATAATGAAAGAAAACACCTACCTCCATCTGGGATCTGTGTCCATCCATTCCCCTCTTGAAGCTGGTCCATACACTGGACTCATACAACCCATTTTTTTCCAGAAGAGTTTATCCCTGAGTGGGCTCCTCATTCCTCAGCCAAAATGGAAACATGCCTGTGGATCCCTGCAGATGCATCTGCCCAGGGGTTAAGGGCTGCACAGCTCCTTCTTTGCTCCCAGGAATTCACCTTTGAACTTGCTGAAGTCTGTCAAATCCAAGACATTTCAGGAACCCTAGCATCTTGGACCCTACAAGCTGTGGAGAGGTTTCCAAAAATATTTTGATTTGATGGAAATTTTCCAGCAACCTCTAATTGGCAGATGCACAGCTGTGAGTCAAGAAGGTGATAGAAAAATTAGTACAGTCTTGCTTGGTTTGTAATTGCAGCTGAGTTTTTTATCTGTCCTAAAAGTTCTTGAACAATAAAAAGTTGTCTCTAATCCCTCTTCCCCAAAGGCAGCACAAGCTTTGCAGCTGACTAAGAATGGGATCTGTAACATGTATTATGCCATTTGCCACATTCCAGAAATAATTTGCTATAGCCTTGAAGCAGAATGAGTGCAGCACACATAAACAAACAGAAAGCTCTTCGGGGCTTGATCTTTAAAGCTTTACCTCACTGTTCGTCCTGCAAAATTGGTACCTCTGGCACTGGCACTCCTGCAACAGATTTGAAAACAGCTCACATTTAACTTTGTAACTGCTGTAAGTCATTGTTTTGATTCCCGTGTGAGCTTTGGCTGGCTGATCCCTTGGTTTAAAAAGTCTGCTCAGTTGTATTTTTCTGACAGGTTTGAGGCTTACAGCAGAATTGTTTTAAAGGGCATGGTGGCTTCATGGTACTTGGCATTGCCTCATGATAATACAACATCTTTCCACAAGGAGATCAAGAGCAGCAGCTTCTGTCCTATGTACTGCTTACATCCTGAGCATGGTGGCTCTGCTGAGAGAAGTTTCTAGAATGCCTAGGGAGCATAATCTTCTGAAGAAAAGACCACACTCACACATTGCTTCCTTGAAACTGTTGGTGTCATTGAAGGCTTCTTTTCTGGACCATTGCTTCCAGCACAGCTGCCAGTGATGAGTCCTGTAGGCAAAGCAAGCACTGTGCTGCAGGGAGAAGCATCAGTGGCCCTGTGTCCAGAGCCAGGGAAAGGGCAACTCCAGGCTGAAGACCTCAGTCCAAGAGCTAGGTTTCACAATACTCTAAGAGAGATGTCTCCATCTGCAGTGCTGGTTGTTTACTCGTTCCATCTGGAGGGCTCGGGGTGCTTTCCCCAGGAAGTAGCTTTGTTAAGAGCAGCACTATAAGGGAATGGAGCTGCCACAAATCATTCACAATTATTTACAATTTTTCCTTCATCCTTAAGGAAGAAGGAGACCAAGAGAATCAGTGGAAAGGTCCGAGTAGCTGCCTTTCAGTTGCTTTTCCCAACTTTCATCTCTGCCTCGGCAACTGCCTCCTGCTTGCTGCCTCGCAGATACTTTGATAGCAAGCCACAGAAACCGCAGCAGCAAGTACTTCACAGGTCCTGGGGAAACTCTCCAGGGGGAGGGGAAGAAATAGGTACGAAATTGTTACTCATTTTGCTCTCTGTGTTTATTTATTTTGGACCCATTGGGCTAGACCGCAACTAAAACTTTATGAACCTAATAAAATTCCCAACATTCTCAGACATGGGTCGTGATGTTTATATATTAGGCAGAATACAAAGGTGTATTTATGAGGAGACTGGAAGTACTTAAGGATGCTTGAGCTCGGGCAAGGCATAAAGCACACATTAGAAATGTTTCCAAAACTTAGCGCAGGTACAACCAAGCTAATAGGCATGCTTCCCACCTAGGAACATGAAGATAAACGGCATGACACATCAAAACCAGAAGTGTTTTGGAAACACTGTGCACCGCATCACAGAGCTATGCCCTGTTCACCACCACCTGTGAGGGGGAGGCAATCTCATTATTTTCCAATAGATGTTATTGAGCTATTTATTTGCCTAGTCCCGCTAGGGCTAAAACACAAGATAGCTCATTTGGATGTTGGTGGTAGTTACAGATGCTAATAAATAGAGGAAGGGTACAATAGTAAACATCTCTTTTCCCTTCTGTCCTCATAAAAAATACTACATTCCCTGATTCCATAAGATATACTGTCTGACTGAAGTCAGGGGATAATGGGTCTTGGCGACAGATTAGGCTTTCCATTTTTATAAATATGAAAATGCTAGAGGGAATATACGCTGGGGTTTATTTTTGCCAGGAGCAAATAAACAGTTCTGTCAATACGCAGATAATCTGCTTCCCAGCTTCCCCCTTTCTTCTCTTGTCTTTGGCCATCTCCACTCCCTAAAAAAATGAAGAAAAAAAAAAAGGAAAGAAAAAGAAAGGTTATGCGTTCATTCTCCTCCTGTCACGCATGATTTTTTTACTGATTTCAGCATTAACTTTTCTGGATACTTCCTGTCACTGGAAGACCTCTCCCTCCCCACAAGAACAGCATACGTTTTCAATTTAGATTATGTTCCCAGCAGATGTTGCAGGACGTGAAGGCCTTGCTTTCTCTTTCATTAAAAAGGCACTTGTAATACATTTTATTGTCTTGGATGGAAAAAAGACATGTATCGCAATCTTCAGAAATCGGTTGATGTGATTTCATAATCTTTATCTTAGCAGAAAAATAAAAGGTTAACAGAAAAGAATCAAAATTAATGTCTGTGTTGAATGTGTATGTATTCTGATGAGTAGATGTAAGCATCCCTCTAAGGGGTACTATGGCAGGAAAAATTTAATATCTTGGGGACAACTCTTCAACTCTAATACACAATCACCCTAAGAAAATTCCCATTATTTCCATAATATTTTGCATGACAATTCAGAGCACACGTGGGTGTATTTGATTCTCCACAAGGAGCTCCAGGCTATCTTGTATGCGTACAGCTTTATCTGAAGTAAGACCTGCTAACACAAATCCCCTCCATTCTCAAGACGCAACAATGATGTCCCACATGGACCCTGCAATCTGTGTTGGAGCATAACATCTAGATGTGCTGCTGGGGGACTATTGTACACATGGTGCTTGCTGCTGGCCAGTGGCCACATAACCCGTGTCCTCCTGGCACCAGAAGGACCTTGTCTGAAGGGCAACCAAGTCAGGGCTTTGAACTTCCCTAAGAAAGAGGGTACAGACCAATCAAGCCCCTACTTGCTTGCTTAATACCCACCCATGAGCAAAGCTTGACACAAAAAGAATTAGGCAGGTTGCATGAAAAACAAACAAAAAGCCACAGAAATCCCACGAGAAAATTAATATAACAGAAAACAGCATGCTACAGTCTCAAAAAGTGCCCTTTAAAAATCTTTAAACTTATTTACACTGGGAAATTGCTGTTGGTAGTCCAGAGGATGCTCACAGCGCCTCAAAAGCATCTGTTATTGCCTGATCTCGCAAATACCTACTGCTAGGGATGTCTATGTGCGTGTGTGTGTACTTTACGTACACTCATATTTACTTATTCCGTCCTTTGTGTCGAAACTAGGAACAAAATGAGGTTATACCCTACGGCAAAACATACACAAACATAATGTGGAATCACCAGAGCTGCCAAAAAAGCCCCTCTGTGGAGAGAAGATCAAGTCTAACAAAACGGACAGCAAACCACAAGTTTCATACAGAAAGCTTGTTTCCAACACAGTTAGATTTTATCATTCTTGTTTCTTCCTGTATTATGGAAGCAATTGTTTTTTTTTTTACCAAAGCCTAGGTATGTCACAGCCAGAAGCAATGGTCCATCTAAACCTACATTTGCGACTGCAAGTCATACAGACAATTTGATATCTCAGCATCTATTCCCGACCACATAAATCCAGCCAGTGGCTCTCTTTCATGTTTCCTCATTTTCCATAAATTTGTCTATTTTCCCTTGAGAAGATACGTGTAGCTTTTTGCTGCTCACTTTGGCAAATCATTACATAACTTAAAAATCCTTTGTGAAACAGAAATTCAGCTTGAATTACAGCTCAGGTTGGTCATCACCACCTCTGTCTCACTGCATGGTGTGTTGGGTTTCCTGACTGTACATGCTAACTTTCATCTCTGTAACCACTGTAGGTTGTTTCTTAACAGTACCGTGCAAACAGTGCCACTGGAGGTAAGAGCAAAATGCTTATAAAACCTCCCTGCTGCTGAAAACCTGAACCCAGGCAAGCTTTCAAGGTGGCACACCCTACTGAGGGCTTCCACCTGGGCATGAACATCTGAGACCCACTTCCTTCCTTTGGCTGGTGTTACCCAGGACCAGTGCTCAGTGCTCAGCAGTGCAGCAGTGCTCAGCAGCCTCCTGCTCACACCTAAAGCCCCCAGGATTGCTCCCCCATGGTTTGCCTTCCTATACTTTGATTTTTTTTTTCCAACCCGGGAGCTTTCTAGGCAAGGGAATCCCCTCAGGAGACATGCTGAGCCCATCCTGACCCACCCCTCCCCATGCTGCCACAGGGACAAAGGAGATGACAAATGCAAGGGATTGACACTGTCCTTAAGGGATGGGACAGTTGGGTTTTGCCCACGCTCATGGCATTGGTGGACCAAGAGGGCAAAACCAACCTGGGTGCAGCAGAAGCAGCTGTACACAGGGCTAAGGAGGGGAAGCCACAGGGAGGCAAAAGGTTACGCTGAGGATACAGCAGCTCCTCGCGGGCAGGACATCTGAACAGAGCATATAAACACTCCACGCTTCCCAGCATGGCTTTAAATTAACATAAACCCTTCTGTAACACCGCCAGGGAATGACTGACTGAGAAGTTTATAGGCCAGAGTGTCCAAGAACTCACTCTCTATTACCCTGTGAACATTTATTAAAAAATATAAAAATGAAATGGAAATGTCCATATTAGGAAGGTTTGATGCCCTTGGTGGGCACATATCTTTTATTTTCAGGAAAAAATTGCTTTCCGTCCAAGAAGTCTGATGGACTCAGAGATCAGGACTTGCAAAAATCACCCGTAATGCTATTCTACAGGGCTGCTTTTGTTTGCTGTTAAGCGATATTCTGTAGTTCCTCCACTAACTCAAGAGGCTGAGTTTGACTGGCCTGGGTTAAGCCAAAAAAGCCATAAATAGAAATAGAAAACCACAAAATATTGTAACAGATATTCAAAATCATAAATCTGTAATCAGCAAAGCAGAGAACCTCTGTTAACATCTTCTTCACGTAGAACAACTATTTGTTGAGGCATGCAAATAAAAAGACTTAATGAGACTAATTTAAAAAGTAGCTTTTGCAAGCCCAAGAGTTTTGGATTACTTGTTTAAATATCCAGATTGCTGAAAGCTGGGCTGCTGTCAAGAATCCCATAACCTTTTGACATTTCTGTGCCGCACATTTACATCCCTATGAGCCGCATGGGTCCTGCCTGGGAAGAAGCAGCCTTTCGAGGGACTAGTCATGCATTTTCCATGAGCCAGCCCCTGGACAAAAAGCAGCACTAAACCCAGAAGCAGCCACCATATGTGGAGCCCCAGCAGGCTGCTGCCAAGCTCCCAGGGACACTCCGTGCGTGGGATGGGTGGTACACATCTGAAAAGCACCATGCGTCAGGGTGCCCTCAGGCAGGGAGAGGTGTGGGGAATCTCAACATGATGCCCATAGAGATTTGGGAATTTGGTCCAGCGTTTCCCTCAGCCTTTGCAAACAGCTGGGGAAGTAGACTTGGACTTGTACCTTGTGCTGTCTCTCTAGGAAACAGCAAAATGCCTGAAAGGGTGGCTGGGATTCACTTCAGCCATGGATTTTTACCTTGGCTTTACACTGCGCTTGCAACTGAATCGATGAAATAAATTGGCCATAATGATGTCAAAATCTCTGAATGCTCTTCTTTGACAAATTCAATTGCTCAGTAAAAATGGATTACAGGAGAAAAACTTCATGATGTGCATTGCCTTGTATGGAAAAAAATATATTTTTCTCATTTTAAATCGTTTCTTAATATTGCCCACAAGGTGTTACTGCATTGATTTATTATTATTATCATCATCATCACTTTTATTTCTAAGCTGCTGCTTCTTCTAGATACTCTTATGCACACTTTGTGCTCTTGTCCTAGGGCACAAGACTTTGCCTTTCTCCTGATCTTTTAGGAAGAGCTGTGCACCTTGGTGGGGCTAACAACGAACGTATAGAAACTGCGAATAATTAACCCATAGATCAACCTCTTCTCATAAGCGCATGACCACGTAAGCTGGTAAACTCAGAAACATGTGCATGGCTCTCAAAGGATAAATATTTCTTTCTGTGTGACGTATACTTGACAAACACCCAGCAAGTCTGAAAAAAAATTGACTTTCTAGATGACTCCTTACAAACCTAAAAGCTTACCTCTTGACCCCAGTTTTTAAGCTTGATGCAGCGCAAACATTTACCCTGAGAGTAACATAGCCACCAGCACCAGCACAATCTTGGCAGAAAAGTCCTTGCTGATACTTATATCACCATAAAATCCACTCATGCTGAGTGAATTAATTACTCACTAAGCTGATAGTTTTTAAGACAAAGCAAGATAAAAACAACAAAAAAGCCAAACAAATAAAAATCCAAATACAATCACAACGTCTGCTGAAATGTTAAAATAAGAATGGAATAATGTTTGCAGTGTTGAACCTTGGCTTTTGGATGAGTTTGTTGCTATCAGATTTCAAAACACATTGGCGCCTTCAGACTCATACAGGTTTCCTGCAGTGCTTTTCAAAACGCCTAGCAGCCAGTCCCAATAGGCCAGAGCCTCAGACCAACTCTGCAAACTACTTAGCACCTGAATCCCATTTATTTCCACATAAATGTCTCAGTTCCTCAATCATAATTTGGAAAACTGTACTTCTCTGCCTCTCAGGAATTGTTTGATGGAGTTTTAAAATAAGACTTCTGAAATCTTTTAGATATGATGGCAAGGAGAGAGCACAGAGATATCCTGGACAGACCAAAGTGAAATGAGGAATTAAGTGACAGAGATTGCCAATTGCAAGATGAGCTTTGCTTTGGCTCCTGGATATAGATAGACAGATAGCCAGGCAGATAGATAAAATGTAAACACACTATTAAAAGTCCCAAATTACAATCCATAATCTGTAAAACTCAGCTAACAGTGTGCACACTGAACCAGGCTCAAAGTTATTCTTAATTCATTATGCTGAAATTTTCCTTAGTGCCATTTATGGCATTATCAAATCATTTCCATCGTACACTGGAACAGATAAATAGCAAAACTCAGCAATCCATACCAGAAGTTATATATATGGAAATACTAATTTTTGGAGAAAACATTTTGTACCAGCTCACTGGCTCAAGACAGATGGCCCCATAAACCTCTCAGCGATGTATAAAAGCTAAGGTTGTATTTGAAGTGTTCCAGGGAGCACATTTCACACACATGACCGAGTGCTGCAGCAGAGGAGCAGAGGCCATTCACCACAAGGTTATGGGACATGAGCTGAATGCCCCATCTCCTGTGCGTGACATAGGGTGAGACTGAAGTGAAGAGCAACAGCAAGCGACTCCATCGGTATTTCCTCACCTACAAGGACCCAGGGGTGATGCTGAAACCACAGCTCAGAGAAGCTGCACACTTCAAGCACACTGAGCAGAAGAGCCCAAATTTATATACTTAGTGGTGTATAGCTATTTATATGCCTCCCTTCTCCATTATTAACCTATGCACTGCAAACATCAGGCTTGACATGACATATACTCGTTTACTGGCACATCTCAAGGGAAGCCTGTTTGCTTCAGTCGATGTATCCACAACTGTTGACTCATATCTTAAGAGACAGGCAAGCTATACAATGCTAAACGATTATCAATCTTTTCCAGCTTCACAACATTTTGGACCTATCTGTAAACAAGCTATCATCCCCAGTGCTTCGATTCGTAAAAGCATAGCAGAAGGCAAAGTATAAATAAATATGGCTACCATATGGTACTTCACTTTTGCCCTTGCGAATCAGGCACAATAAGCACTCTGTCCTCTGTCTGCTTTGGAAAGGCCTTGATTATTTAACAATACCTGGAATGCACTGCGTTTGCACATCAAAATTAATCTCATGCTGTGAGACATCACTCTAAATTGGAAAAAATAAAAAATAAATAAAAAACATATATATGTGAGAGAGAGGGAGGAAGGGATGGAGGGAGAGCTTTCCACATGTCAACACATTATTGCAAACAGGGCCGCAAGACATATGCTGCGGCATGGGGCTGGGAAGTGTGGACCTGAGGTTTTTGCTAATATTTCACTTGTATAAGAGATTCTTCTGTTTTAATAGAGAGAGAAGTGCATAGCTGAAGCTAGCAACTTGCTTACTCATCAGTTCAGAAATTTCCCAGTGTTGCTATAGATGGATGCTACTGTTTCCTTCATTAAATAAATATAAAGCCAGAACGTGCACCTGTCCAGCCGGTGCCTCTGCCCCAGGCTCACCTTGTGCTGGTCCAGCAATGCCTGCAGTGGTCCCTGGGCTCAAAGCTGTGTCCCTGCCGTGCTGCTGGTGCTGCTGGGCTGGGGTGGCAGGAGGAGGCAGCCACTGGTCTGATGGCAAAGGGCACAGATGGTGGGGATCCACGATGGGGTATTTCTGGACGAGTAGCCTGTGGGAAGAAGGTGGCATCACAGAAATTTCTGTTCGGAAAATGCTGCTCAGTTTTCCCCAGGCATGTTGCTGGGAAAGTCAAATTAAAAATTACCCACGCTTTTTAAACTCAGCCCTTGCAGGTAAATCTTGCAGGGAGGGATGGTCCTGAATGCCACTGCTGCACAGCACATTTTTCTCTGACTCCACAAGCAGAGTGGCTGGCTCTACTTAACGAGCAGCGACAGCAAAATGTCCTGATCTCTTCTGTTGGCAGCACTGCCGAGCTCCTGCACGAGGAGACACGAGCAGAGGTCTGTGCAGGTGACAGCCCCCACACTCATTAGCTCTTGGCCCTCCAACTCCTGAGCTGAAAGTGATGTGAGCTGTCACCCTCCCGGGCACAAGCTCTCAGGGACAGGGACAGGCTGACTGACAGTCATTTCCCCAGGCATCTGCTGGCAACGGATAAATGCTGAACTCAAATCTCACTGTTTTGCAGATCCTCAGGGCAGTTATGGGGTTTTCCTCCTAGTCCTGACTCTACCCACTGATCTTCAGCTCATTTTCATCCCAGTCTGCCTCTTCCATCTCCATGGCCATGCCCCTCATGCCATCCTTCAGGTGGGGCCTGGCTCCCAACCCAGCCTGAGCTGGACACCCAACCCACCCTCCACTCTTCTCCCCCTGTCCAGTCTACTCTTCCTCTCAGTTTCCCTGCCCATGTACTCCTGTTCTCTCCTGCCTCTGATCCACCTCCTTGCACAAGAGTTTCCAGCTCCCACCTAGGCCAGTGGAACCTAGCTCTCTGTCTGTGTGTGGCCGTGGCTGAATACTTCTTGTAGAATGGAGAAGAAATATTAGGAGATATATGCCTCTTATACTCATCACTTTGATAGAGATAAAGAAACTATGTTTTTCTGTTGCTTTGGTGGCTGTAGGATATACATTCCACGTTTTACTCTCCCATATATATATATATTATTTTTCATCTGGAAGGCACCATCTCATGAAAAAAGGCATATAACACAATAGAAATTGAGTGTGGGATCTCAAGGACACTCTGGAAGACTTTGTGAGTTCAGAGTCATGAAAGCCATAAATGTTAATACAAGTGGTCCACCAGAACATATTCAAAGTAGAAACAAAAAAGGATTTCCCCACTGTGGCTCGTGACTCACTACCTAGCTGTAGCCATGGTAGACAGAAGAGCATTCTTGCAAGGCTCTACAAGCCCCCTGGGACTGCGGCAATGCAGGGGAGTGAAACTGCTTCAGAACAAAACATACTTTAGGAATTAAATAACTTCGGCCCTTGTCCATAGTATAAACATCCTCTTTTTTTTCTTGTCCTAGTGGTAATGGTAAAAATGCCAGTAAAATGTAGAGGTCTCTTCAGAGGGTCTACTTTCATGTTGCAAGAAGGCTCACACAGTGCAGAGAGGATGGCTGGAGAGCAGAGAGGCCATTACCAGGGATAAGATAGACCATGCCCAGAGAAATGGCATGGAAGGACCAGAAGGGAGAGAGAAAGTGATGAATAAAAGGAAAGGATGAAAATAACATTGGACTGGTCACATTTTTGAGGGTATGATCATTTTAACCACAGACTGTCAAATAACTGACTAAGCCAGAAACACTTTGACAAACACCCCAAATACAATACTTTCCTCAGTGTTACCTTTGACTTCAGGTCTTTAAAATCTGGTGCTTTAAGAATATATGCTGAGTATGACAACACATATAGCTAGATTTCCATCATCTCCCTGAGCTGTTTTTTTTTTGCCTTTGAAGCTCTAATAACAATTACTGAGTGTCTTCTGAACATCTGAGCTGCTAAGTCTCACTTTACTCCGCACCTATAAGCTACATTCCACGTAAAGTCTCACTGCCTTCTGGGTTGGTGAGTGTCACCTTTCCTATTAATGTCTCCTATAGACTCCACTTTTTCTCCAGCCATTAATAACAGTGATTGTAAGAACAAAGAACTGGCCTGAATGTCATTCAGAGAGGCTCTCAGCCATGGGAGTTGTCCCCCAGCTCCATTTCAGGCATTTCAGGCAGCATCAGCGAGGGGTTACATATCTCATAGAGTAAGGACCACTGTGTAGCAGGAGTGACTTTTTTTTGGATGAGATTGCCAGGATTCCCTAGCTTAAAGAGGGTACCACCATTCTTTTTTTTTTTTAAACCTTGAATTTTCTGCATTGCCTGTTTGTTCGCTCCCTGGACACAGCCACATATACATTTTTAAGCCCTCTTGGATTTGAGACATCTTTTCTGCCTTAATCAGTAGATACTTTGCTGGATATAATTATGACCGGAAACCCTTATGTGCATGTTAACATAGTTTGAAAAGCAACTGAATATCTAGAGTTTGGGGTTATGGTTATAACTTACTATCCTCTCAGTGATTAACAGGCTATTCCACGTTTGCCCACAATTCCACTAATCTTCTTGTAAATGCCGCTCCACATCCCCAGATTGTTTTGCCTTGCTTAGCTTTAACTCATCATGGCTTTTAACTCTCATATTTTCCTGCTAGCAGTAACTTAGAGAATGTTCTTGTGTAGCTGCCACCTCTGTTTTCCATTTCCAGAACAGTTCATTTGTTAACCTCAGATTTTTGAGCAGTCCCTTGTGAAGCCACATTGGTTTTTTTCATGTTCTTTGCATATTTTTTTTTTCTCAGAGGAATTTTAATCTGTTGCACCCTAAATTCTCATTTCTTATTAGAAATCCCCAGCTTGTTTTCACACCCTTGGATTTGAGGTACTTCTTCTCATTGTATCCAGACCACTAAGACTCTGATTTAGCTAAGCAGTTAAGGATGTGCTTAATTTAAAGAATGTGTATAATCCTATCCCTGTTCAACAGCACACATATATCAACTGCTGCTCCAATGGGACAAAGGCACATGCTGAAATTTACTGTAAATTTGTAAAACTGTCTATTCCTGAAATCTAATCCTCCAGTCCTACAGCAGCACCTTCTGGCTCCTAAACAGTTTTTCTTAATTAGACAAAAGGTGATTTTGTAATACTCATTTGCTTTTATCCTTTCATTTCATGGTACTTGTTACTCTCTGACCTTTAAGATCACTGAGCTTTTTACATCCCCTAGAGAGAAGTAACCACATGTTTTACCATATTGGCATAACAGGCTATCATGCTCTTGCAAAGCAAGAGACTCTTTATACACAGTAAGCAAAATTAAGCTGACTTTCTAGACTGATAGGATTTGCATTTGTGAAGGATCAGCTGTGAAGGCTCAAACTTACACGTTTGTAAGGCTTTGTATGGATGCAGAAAATGCCCAGAGACAATATGCTCCCAGACCAGGCTTTACTTTTTTTCTGTAGTCAGGTGACTTTTTACTCTGTTGTAGAAAATGACACCTACCATGCACATAGAAACATGTTTCCATGAGATGAAGAAGCAGAGAGAGACCACACATGCCCCAGAGTGGTTGATCGTCATTTCCATGCTCTCAGTCACTGCTCCCTGCAGTAATTTGTCCCCTCCTCATTGCAAGAGTCAAATCAACTATCCTGAAAGAAAGAAGTTGTGATTCAGTACCATGGTACTGTCCTGGTGACTTCTTGTTTTCACCCCAAGCTTCAAAAACAGTCATATTTGTTCTAATAGCCAAACGCAAATTGAAAAGAAATGGAAAAGAAGTGACAAGCAAATCTTTTCAGGAATGAGCTTTGCTTTATTAATTAAAGCTGATAAAGTAAGGATAACACTTAAGAATTTTGCACCTTGAGGCAATCAAGGAAGTCTGAGTCCTCGCACTCAATCAGACTTACAGCTTCATTGACCGTCTCCTAAGAAATATGTCACTTTGCTTCTTGGCTACACTGTTGACTCAGAGTGGAACATGATTTCCAGGCAAAAGGCAGAACAGAACACAGACCTACTTGATTCCTGGCTTGGTGTTCTGTTATTGGCTTAAAAAAAAGCTTTGGTTTAATTTTTTTTTTTTTTTTTGATGTTGTTGGATTTTGGAGGGAGAGGGTATGTAATTCTGCCTCATTTTTCAGTATTATCTGTTCAAAGTATTGTGCAGCTTGATGCTATCACCCACACCCCAACAGCACTTTAGCACTTTATCACTTACTCCCTTTCAACCAGAAGAGGAATTTCTCTTGGTGTTAATAGAAGTGCAGTCAAGGGCTGCACAGGACCCCTCTGAGAAGAGAAGTACAGAGGGGTTAGTCTGAATTAGGGTTTGGGTGGTTTTTTAAACAAAAAATAAAATATTTTATTAACTTAGGAAATGATTCAGAAGAATTTGCAGTCTACAAAGCAGGGTAATGTCCTTCAGATGGTACAATTACCCAGACAACTGGAAAAACTTGCATTTGCACAAATAAGGCATAACACTGAAAAGCTGATAACAATGTAGGAAGTTACAGATAGGTATTGCTCGTCTAGGGAATAAAGGGTGAGCGTATTGCAATCAGCAGCCAAACTTGGATAACATGATATGTAACATATTAAATAAAGATGTTTAACATTTCTTCATAATAAAGTAGAGAAGTCATAAATCACAAAGTACTGGATCCTTTGGGTACCACAATTCTACAGGTCTGAAGACAAAGAGGAGATCAGGTTTCATTCTCGTCCTCATTATAATCTCTGCGTAGTAACCCTGAGGTCAGGGAGAGAGGTGAGAGTCTAAGGAGGTAAGCCTTCAATGGTGAAGGAGTGATTTTGTTTTAGACTGCTATGATTTCTTAAAAGAAGATTCTGCTGTCTGAGTAATTTGGAGCATTTTGCCTCAGAGATCTGAAATAACAGTGAAATTGGTAATACATTAAGTAATTCAGGGATTATTTTGTAACTGAGACTGCCCTTTAAATTTATCCACTTTCCCTGTAAAACGTTCCCTTCCAAGAACTAATTACTGAGTCATTCCATTCCCGTGTCATGTAAGTACTGTTTCTTTCCATTTCCAAGGTTTTTTGTGTCTGCATGCACCATTCCTGTTTCTCCACACTAGCACACTTTGGCTACTCACAGAAAGGTAGATGGGACTATTCAGACCGACTGGCCATCTTGCGTCAGAGGGGAATTAGCAAGCCCTGATAACTGCCTATTTGCTATCATTCACCTAATCATTTCCAAGTACTTCTGAGCCACGAAAGCTTTAAAATGTCTCACGCGGTTGGTATTTTTAACCTTCAGTAAGAAATGCAGAAACAGCTTAGCCACCGTGCTGTAGGTCATACAGGCAGCAACAGAGAGGGACCCCAAAGAAGCTGATACGGCTGCAGCATTCCAGCCACTAGACAACACCACCTCCTTCTGGAAAGGAAAGTCAGCAACATGGTTGTCCAATGCAGGGAAAAAATAAAATAAAATCACTGCAACTCCTTGAAAACAGTTGTGACATAGCCTTCTTCCCTAACGGGGAAATAAAAAGTGAATTGGGAAATTCACCTTATGAGTCACATGCTACGTATTTCTACATTAAAATGAAAACAATAAGGTGTTTAGAACTTGTTCTAAAAGGACGCATGAAGGGGCTCAGCTGGCCTGAAGAGCCTGTGTTTGAAGCACAATCACCGCGACTACAGAGAAACTGCGTAGGCACGTGAACAAGCTTTTTCTGGCCGATCAAGATTGAGTCTGCTTTCTGGTTAGGTTTCACAACCCATGAGGCTGTCTCTGGTACCCAGCCTAGCCAGTGCAGGGAGAGCTGTACTGAAGGGTATGTGTGAGCACCTCATCCATCTGGTCTAGTGCCACAGTGAGGAATTTTCCGAGAACACAACCTGGAGGCTGCTTTTGAAGTTTCAGACCTATGGGGAGCCCAAGTGAGCAGATTGTGTCCAGAACCCAGGACGTATGGAGCTGAGATCATTACAGTGTCATTCCTACCGTGGCGAGCACTGAAAGGAGTCCAGACCGTTATTGCATAAGAGTCAAGCGTTTTCCTGGCAGTGACAGCGAAGAATATGAAAATGTTGAAACTGAATTTATTCTCAGTTTCAACATCATCTCTCAGAAAGAGTCAACCAGCAATGGAATTTCACGGGGGAAAAGCTCCTATAAAACTAATAGCTTTTCACTCTCTCTCTGTCAGCAGATGATTAATTCCTGGTGCTGGAGGTGCATCTGAGTGACTTAGAAGAGCTCTGGAAGTCATGAGGAAGCAAGAGGGGTTTCGACAAAGGCTTAATCATTCTATTCTCAGGACTTGTTCCATCCAAATCTCCACTGAGTAGAAGCCAGCAAGCATTTTTCCTTAATAAAGGCAAAGGAAAACGTCAAGATAATCTTCGTTTGCATCTTGGGATCTCACATGAACAAGAAACTAAAGCAAGACAGATTAAAAATGATTTTTTTTTTTCAGAGTCAAGATGCCTGATGTTAAGCACCTAAATATGTTTTTTGAAACTTGTGTGTATGCTCCTGGTGCCAGAATAAACTGGCTGCTTGGGGCCTCTGAAATGTATGCCACATAGTCTGACACATTAATTTAGAGTCATGAATTTAATTTGAGTGACCCAAGTTAAAAAACTTTCACTAAACAATTCACCAGTGATTACAGGGGAAGAAAAAAGAGGGAAAAAAAAAAAAAAAAAAAAGGAAAAGAGTTCTATTTCTTCAATCTCCCTGTTCCTATATTCTGAACAAAACAACACCCAAACACAAAACCTACTCTGAAGCCCCAGCAAACTGTTGCAGTTCTGAAAACACATTCCCCAGCCCCCTTCGCTAACTTGTGGCAGTCACTGCAAAGTAGCTCTCAATATTTGTGATACTCCTATATCAAAAATAGTGCAGAATAATGGAGAAAGAAGCAGATTTAAAGATATTTCCTGAGCAACCATTTGTATCGAGTACCTTCTAAAAGCCCTTTGCGCTAGAGCTGAGAATACAGAGAATATGAAAACATACCAGAGTGATACTTTATCACTCTCTTCAGAATTTAAAATATTAAGAATACAATATAGATCCAGCATGTATGGACATAGATTAGAATACTGTAAATTTTTATTCTATTTAAATATTTTTATCATTTTTAAATTGCCCTCCAAACATCTGGAAATTTTCTTTAAAAAAAAAAAACACAACACAGTCTTTTTAGCAAGCGGTAGAAGAGCCAAAGCTTTCTTGCCAATCAAAACATTCTCAAATACTGATTCTATTTTTTCCAAAATTTCATAAATATTTTTGAAAAATCCTCATGATCTTTCTTTCTTTTTTTCCCCAAATAGAAAAGTTTGGTTTAAACAACACTGCCATTACAGACAGAGAAAGTCCTGCTCCTGAGGGAGATATTCAACAGTCCTCGTACACATTAACCATTTTCTTTCTTCATTGCCTTTCATTCAGTCCATATGTTTAACTTCTGCAGTGGAAAAAGCAGGTGTCCCTCAGAACAAATTGCCTGAAGCATCTCTGGAGTTGCTCTATCTGACATATGATCTATACGTGGAACCTGGTTGACATGCTATGGAAAAAATAGCTTGTGATCACCTAATTAAATACTGTATAATCATGCAAGCAACCTTCACTCAGCACAGGAGGTTATACTAGGATGACTTATCAAAACCATTTGTCTTACCGAGCCTACTTCCTTCACCTTGATCTTTTTGTTGCTATATTTGGTCCCCTTTCTGCTGGTCCACCTAGAAGGTCCACCTATTTTCCCCAGGAAAAAATATTTCAGTCCTTCTGTCTGCAGACAATGCCTCCAAACTCATTTCATCATCCCATGCTTTTAGCGTGCTGTGACTTCTGATGACAAAGTTATCAATGGGACAGCTAAACAGGAACGCTTTCCAGATGGTGCAGAAGGAATGCCACAGCTCTCTTCCTCCTGCTCAACCCTTGCCCTTTCCGGAGGCAGATCTGCTGCTTCTTCTTTAACCTGTTCCTTACCACTTCACAGTTTGCATAGAAATACCCATCTCCCTCAGATTATTTCTGTCTCCTACACAGCTCAGTGGTACTGAAGCCCTGCTAGATTAAATCTCTACATTTTACTTCCTCTAAAAAGGAATTGTCTTGTCAAGAAGTATCAGTTAACCTTGGAAAATTCATCTTTGATAAACTCCTGTTTTTTTGTGTGTGTGTTGGGTTCTTTTAAGTCTATTTTCTACTTGCCTTTCTATCTCTGTTTTCTATTATTTTTTTTTTCAAATCCTTGCATACTACTGAGGTCACACTAATAAACTGCCCAGATGATTTTTTCCTTACTTCAGTGGAGTGTGTTACAGGCACTATCCCCAAGTCATAAATTGCTACCTTTGAATTAATTGAATATTGAAAATCCTTTCTACCAGACCTGCAATTTCCTGTGACAGATCTCAGACTGTTATGACATGGACGTTAGCCAGCTGCTCTTCCACCACAAACATGCTCATTTGTACTTCTATAGCTACTCCTGTCTATGTTTGTCTCCATAGTCTACCTTATAATATATAACCTCATCATAAAATTATTCTTTAGTTTGAGGTCATACTTTGGACTACATTGATCCTCATTTCTTTAACTGAGGGAAGAGGGGATTTCTTTTGCCCCAGCTTCTAAA